GCATACGTAGGCAGGTGGAGTTACCAACACATCTCTGCATAGGGACGCAGGCAGGTGGAGTTACGAACACATCTCTGCATAGGGACGCTGGACCCTATTTCCAGCAGATACATTCACAGCATTGTACAGGGACGCTGGACCCGTTTTCCAGCAGGTGCAGCTCCCCACCAATAGATGGAGCCTTCAACACTGGGACCTACTTACCGGGGATGCTCTTTTCACCTCTCTAAGTAGGTTTCCCATATACGAAGTTTCGAAAGAAAAAAAAAAAGAAAAAAAAAAAAAAAGAAAAAAAAAGAAAGAGCTTGCCCAGCGTGCCTCGCACAACCCCGAGGCCGCAGGATATGATGCGAGGGACGGAGCCAAGAAAATATTGGCTTATATACTCAGGCACATCAGGAACAGGAAAAGGTCTTTTTTTTTTTTTTTTTTTTTTCCTTAAGGTTATAACACCCCTCAAACCACGAAGAGCCCGAGGCGCCATGGCATGACGGGTGGGTTTCCCCCACCACCCACCCTTGGATATTTGTGAGCGTCACCATGATTCCATGACCCATGTCGATGGGTACACCTCAAGTTTGCTCTTCCCACGCCGCTTCAACTTTTTATTGCCAAACTAGAAGCCTTCCTGGCACCACTGTTCCACTCTCACTGGATTAATTTAAAAGGTAATAGCTCCCTGGGGGATATATCCAAGAAAAGCTAGAAAACAAACAAATTATCCCGTAACACAGAGCAGCAACGCAGACTGGCACGAAAGCCAAAGACATAGGGGGTGCGCTAGGAGTATTGACGAGGAGGTTGGGATGGGATAAGATGGGATGGGATGGGAAGGGAGGTGGCCTCGTCTACTCGCGGTGGGACTGGTAACTGCCTCTACAACACCGTGGACTTCAAAAAAAAAAAAAAAAAAAAAAAAAAAAAAAAAAAAAAAAAAAAAAAAAAAAAAAAAAAAAATTTTTTTTTTTTTTTTTTTTTTTTTTTTTTTTTTTTTTTTGGGGAAATACAAAAAGGGTGCTGATATGAGCAGACACCACTAGCACCCCCGGGCCAGCAATTGGTGGGACGGCTACTGTATCAAATAGGCACACAAGGATTTGGTGGACAAGCTTGCCCACGAGAAAGTGAATCTAATCCTATATTTACGGCCATACGCGGCGACACAGTCACACAGATTCCGTGCAAGGGCTGGGAAGTACCAGTCCGGTTACTTTAGAACCCAGCAAACATAAAAAATACAAGGAAAGTTAGAGTTAGATAAACCATATCACGACCAAAGGCAGCTTCGATACTAGCAACCGCATTTGCAATACTGACAGAGGTGCGTGTAGAGAGCAATTGGCCATTGCTTGTCTTAGCTCTTCTTCTTCTTCTCTTCTTCTTCTTCTTCTTCTTCTTCTTCTTCTTCTTCTTCTTCTTCTTCTTCTTCTGCTGCTGCTGCTGCTGCTGCTGCTGCTGCTGCTGCTGCTGCTGCTTATTCTTATTCTTCGTGGTCGTCGTCGTCGTCTTGGTCTTCTTCTTCTTCTCGAAAAACCAAAATAACGACATTCGAAAGTCTTAGAAGGGAAAAACAAGAAAACAAAGCGAAATTCGACAGCAAGGAGGAATTTGACAGCTGTTGTAACCGTGATACGCACTGATTGTCCTCGCCATTACAATTACACTTCTTCTTCTTCTTCGTTCTTCGTTCTTCTTCTTCTTCTTCTTCTTCTTCTATATCACTAGTTGTTTCGGTGCATGCGCTCAGCAACAGCCGATTTCAGCCAATCAGGAGAGGGTAATCGAGTACACTAAATTAAATACTTCACTTATATCTAACCTTCATTCCTCT